ATAATGAGCAAGGCCGGCTCCCACACGCACTGCCCACGTGTCCTCCATGCAGGCAGAGCTCTGCATCCACACAACACACAAGGCGCCCCCGAGCATTCCCAACCCTTTGCAGCCCCCATCTTGGCCCGGTCAGGGCTGAGGGAAGGGAGGAAGCCCAGCGAAAGCACAAGAGGCAGATTCCAGACAGATCCTTCACTCCCTTGGTCCAGGGGCCTTGATGACCCCCCTGCACCCAGCCTCCTCCGCTCATGGGCTGCCCGGGCACCTCAGATCTTTCCTGAGGATTCTTCTGCAGTCAAATGCCCTCCTTTGCCTGGTTCATATGCCCCTTTTTACGAAAAGGGGCTCTCCTCTGGAGAAAAGGCTCTTTTAAGACACACACTCAAACAAGTTTTAGGACATGTGTTCTGAGGGTTGGGATCAACCCTTTCCAAATCCCTCCCTCCAGGCTCCATGGACCTCCTCCTGTGCTTGCAACACAAGTCAAGCCAAGAGGAAGTTCACAGACACCCAGCCACCCACCCAGCCACCTTCCCTGCCCAGCACCTCCAGCAACAGGGGCGGGGGAGACGATCCCTCGCTGTGAGTGGCACCGGGGCATCCTGGCTCCTCGCTCGGCTCTTCCACACTGTGGCCGCTGCCAGCAGGAGCAGGTGGGGAAGAAGGTTGGTGGCACTGGGGCTTGGGGCCACCACAAAGCGGACTGAGTCCAGGGGGCCCAGCCCGGGGCGTCTAGTGGACTCTGGCCCCCAAACGAGTTCCTTGCACACCCCGCTATAGCCATTGGCCTATGCAGATGCGTGCTGGTTGTTTCCTTTTGGCCCTCTGGTCCCGAGCGCCAGACCTTCGCAATACATAGCATGCCTGCCCGTGTTAATAATCCCTCTTGGTATTAATAACCAAGTGTTAAGTAAATGCCAAGGCACTGATGGCACCCACTAGCCAACTGATGTTTGGCAGCAGCCCAGACCTCCTGCATCCCCCATTTCCAGTCTGAGATCCCTGCCGGACGGTATCAATCAGAAGCAAGGAAAACCACCAGGCTCTTGTGCAGCCCCCACATGCTGTAGAGCTGGGTTCCTACGCAGACAGACATGACGTCAGGCGAGACCTTGAAGAGCAGCGTCACCCGACTGCTGCGAGACAGCCTGCTCCTGCGGGGCTTTTCTGGTGCTCACATGCCCTTAGCAATATGGACCCTGCAAGTGCACTCCCAAATGGCTGCCAGGTCTTCTCTGCAGCCGTTCAGAAGAGTATTTGAAGGTTCCCCAAAGGAATATGATTGGCTATAGATGGGAAATGAACAGAATCCGCATCATCCTGATCAGAGGCGGGCTCCAAATCCTTCCCTGGGAGCCCTGGATCTCCCTGAGACCCCCTTTCACCCCCACTGTCCAAGGGCACTCGCTGCAGTCACAGTGCAGGGTCCCAATGGCCTCTGTTGCATCCGACCCGCTGGAAGCACGGGGCCTCCCCTCCTGCTATTCTCTCCAAGACTTTCTGCTTGCATTTCTTTTCTGCTTGTGGACCCCATGTCCACAAATCCCTTTATACAATAGGGGGTCCTCTAAAGGTCCTTTAAAGACACACACACAGTGAGAGACTTCAAAGCATATGTGAATTTGCATGTGCAAATGTGTGCTTTTAAAATTTATTCTGGCCCTATGTGTCTGAACCCTGGATCTTTCAGAAGCTAGAAGCGCCCTTTAGTAATCCAGTGTCAGGGCATTGCCAAGGTGTTCACCTAGTAATGCTGGCTCTTAATTTGTGAATACTCAAGTTCTGGAACTGGTGTGCATGTACTGGGCTCCCCCGGAGCTTCCTTTATTTGATTATTCCTAGATCTCCTCAGGAGATCCTTGCTGCTCTCTCTCTCTCTTCTGTCTCTTGCTACAGTGCTGTGAACAGACTCCAGGATGACCAGGAGCCCCGTGAAGAGGTTGACATGACGTCCTACTTGGGCAAGCGTGGTGACACTGAACTCGTGGAACCAGCCTTGTGAGAGTGGCAGCCTGGTAGCTTCTGGGGACAGGAGAAGGCACGGGGGACACTGCCCTCCCCTCTGGCATGTTAGTGACTGCATATCAAAAATCCGGCCGTAGAGAAACACCATCTGAAAAACACCCTCAGCCTCCTCTCAGTCCTTCTAGACCTTGGGCCCTGCTTTCGCACAGCATCTCTTGCTGCTGCTGCTGCTGCTGCTGCTGCTGCTGCTGCTGCTGCTGCTGCTGCTTCAGATCAACACATGTTAGGTCAAACTTATTTTAGTCTAAGAAAGAAAACTGTCCCGTCCATTCGTGGTGCTCCCCCAGTTTCCCTACTGTCAGGGGAGAGGAATTCTTCTCAGCCCCAGAAAGCAGCTTTCAGGGGTCGCATGCCACTGGTGGCTGGGGCCGACCACAAAGAGGGCTGCACCAAGGTCAAAAAGGTGGGACAAAAATAGACACCCCCCCCCCCGCAGCCTCTTGCAGCTTCAGGCTCTTCCTGGCAATCCCACAGTCTTCAGAGAAATATCCTGACCTTTCACTTCACTTCCCCCATGCATTTTTTCCCTTCCAACCCCTTTCCAGGTGCCACCCTATCCATCTTCCTGCAGAAGAAAGCCTGGCCCCCGACACTCAGTGCTAGACGGGCCTCATCTCAAGCCCTGTGTCCAGTTCTGAGCACTGAAGTTTTAAAGATGCAGAAGAGCTGAAAGGGGTCCAGAGGAGGGCAGCAAGGGTGATCCAGGGCCTGGAGGCAAAAGCCCCATGAGAAGAGATTGAGTGGGCATGTTTGGCCTCAGGAAGATGGGAGATAGGACAGCACTCCCAAGTACCTGAAAGGCTGTCCCAAAGAGGAAGGCCAGGCTCTCTTCCTGGTCATTCCAGAGGGCAGGACATGGAACAGCAGGCTCAAGTTTAAAGAAACCAGATTTCCTAGACACCAGGAAGAATTTCCTGACTGTCAGAGCAGTACAACCATGAAACCGATTACCTGGAAATCATGGGCTCTCCCTCACTGCAAACACTGAAAAAGCATCTGGACAGCCACCTGAGTTCCCACTCAGGTACAGCTTGTGTCCTTGCTAGAGCAGGGGTTGGCCCTGATGGCCTTCTGGCCCCTTCCAACTCAACTATGCCATGATTCTATGATCCTAATTAGGAAGGGTTTCTTCCCCCCCTGGTGTCAGAGGCATTATACTGGGGAATATGGGCGGGAAGGTGCAACTGCATGCCTATCACACAGCGGGGGGCCACGTGTGAATAGAATACTGGACCAGATGGACCGGGGGCTGAGCCTGCAGCGGGGTTCATGTCCCCAGACCAAGCCAGTGCAATGTGCATTAAGTTCCCATGAAATTGAGATGACTGAGGTTTGGAAGGTGCATCCGTGGTCGGAGCTGGTCCCCTTGGGCCGTTTCCTTCCCCTGCGGCCCAGCCCACTTTCCTTCCTTGTGAAACATTTCACTCGGGCCAGGACTGACCCCCATGGAAAGCCGGAGCCATTTTCTGTGCACTTCCCATGAAAGACATTGCTCAGATGAGGAAATGTGGGAGGACCAACCCTGTGGGCCTCTGCTGTGGGGCAGCGTGTGGACAGCTTCCAGAAAGCTCTGTGGACAAGAGGAGTTCCGTGGAGGGGAGGGAGGGGCACGAGGAAGAGGAAACCCACATGCATCCGTTGCTACAGCAACACTGCAAGCAAAAACTCCCGAGCATCACTCAAAGGAAACCAGATCTCCAACGGATGGTGGAGGAGAGAATTTCTCACAGGGAAAAGGGCGGAATAAAATGGGGCAGCAGGATGGGGTGGGCCAGTCCCTCAGCCTCCATTTCCCTGTTCTTTTTAGCACCTGGTGCAAACCCCACTCCTCCTGTGCGTTCCACGTCTCTGTGCGTGTGCGTTTGCAAAAGACCTTGAAATCCTCTATTTCTTTCCTTCTTTCTCTTTTTTTGGACCTCCACATGGAAATTTATATGCACCATTTGCCTGAATGTGTGCATTTTAGATATGCATTTTTGCCTGACATCTGCCATTTTTTTGCAAGCTGTTTTCTTAACAACATTTCAGGAGCATCATTTTCTTTTAATCTATGGACTTCCACTGTGCACATTCCCTTAATCTGCAGATTTTTTGGACATATGTTTGTACTGGAGAATACCACCAAAGGGCAGATTTTGAAGGGTAGCTGAGTTTCAGGCCACACATTGGAAGGAAGCAATGGCATTAGGACAGTTGGACTGATGCATGAACCAAATTAATATTTCCCTATTGCCACTCTGGGCTAGGGTACAACTCAGTAACAGCGCTCATGGTAAACTACACTCAAGGGTTCAGGATAGATTGGGTGGGGTTAATAAGGAACCACAAGTTTTGATGTGAAACATGAGTTGCTGCATTTGTCATATCCGGCTTCGCTAACAACCCATGGTCATTGTTGGGTACTTGATTTGGCTCATTCACCGTGACTTACTATCTTAGAGAACACAATAGCCCCTGTTAAGGAAGCAAAGATCAGGCCACAATTCAGCTGTCTCCTGCTCACCAGTTTTCTTTCCCATGCTCTGTCCTAGCTAGGAAGCAGGCCAAACCAAGATCCAGTGCATGAACTCTCGGGAATGCTCGTGGCTTCCTTGTGCAAAGGACGTAATGCTTTGCTCCAAGTCGCCCTTGCAGACACTCACTCAAGCTGGGCTTGGGGCTGACAGACAGTGGGGAAGAATAGGGGCAGCCAAGCTGACGGTTTACCATCCCAAACTGGATACCTCACATGTTACTAACCAGTGTCTCAACAGCAGTCCACACTCTGCCTTGAGCATAACAGAACACTCATAACCCACAGCGGAAGGTTCTGTGTGTGTACAGGAGAAAAGTGTGCAGAACCATAGCATTTGGAAGGAACACATGCAAAGGGCCACGTTTTTTGTTTAAATAATTATTTAAATGTTGTGTGCATGTCTGTGCAGTTTTTATTAAAATTGCATATTATTGCAGAAATAGGAGGGACTGATTGAAGGATGCACCCCTGGAAATTGACGCAGGAAAGGAATGGCAGTGTCCAGGAGATGGACGACTTCCTCCACTCCCAGTTTGCCGCCAACTGCCAGGAGCTGTGGCTGAGGATCCCTGCTCCGATCTACTCCAAGCCTCTGGAAAAGGCAGCCAGTTCCCTCCCACAGCCAGCCAGCCAACCACACAGTGCTAGCAGTTCTCCATCAACACAGATTTCAGGTGCCGGAGAGCTTGGTTGTCTCCAGCAAGGTGCAAGCCTGCAAAATCTGAGCTTGCCCCAAGTTCCCCAGATTCTATCGCAGACCTTGCTGCAGCTCAGGTCCCTGTCGACGTGTGAGCTTGGGGTTTGTGTTCTTGCACACGCCTCCCTCCTTTGTGTGCAGCACACGCATTCTTTTCTCGCGGGCTGCAGGGCACTGCTGAGGATTCTGCCAGGTGCACGCGTGCTGTGGTGTGCAATTTGGGAGGGGGGCAGTCTGCAGATCACATGGCCAGCTAGGAAATATATGGACTTCATCCAGAAGATTCAAACTGGGCAAAATTCTCACCAAAATTGTCCTGAATCACATTTCTCACACAACCCTCATCAGATGCTCCATAGGCCTGGCAACAAAATGACACTTGGGCACAGCCCTGGGCCACTGATGGCACCAAAGGGGGCTCCAGGGGCCTCCCATGGCAAAATCCAATGATTGTCCAGGGCCAGGAAACGTGGCAGAAACTGACCCCCATTTATTTCCCCCACCTCGTACCCCCATGAGGCCTGGGAAGATGAGGTGGAGCCCCAGAAAACTCCCATCTGACACGCTGCATCCGCTGCTCTTCGCGCCCATGTGAAGACGTGAGAGGCTCGCCTCAAAGCATCGCATTACAAGCTGCATACTGTGAATTTATACACAATCTCTCCAGTTACTCAGGATTTTGTGGGGCGGCCGACCCGAGAAGGGGGTGTTAATAAACATCACGCTCCTGGCAGAAAGCTCTCTCCCCCGCGTCAGCTCTCCAGCTCGTAAATCTAGAGGGTTGCCGTCCACTTTAAGGAAGGGGCTCCATTTAATTGCTTCTTCCTTGCAAGCTGGAAACAAAATACCCTCAACTGGAGGGAGTGGGGAGGGAAGGGGGATGTTAAAAAATTTGGGAACAAAACTGGTAATATACCCCCAGGGACCACTGCCTCGAGTCCAGAGCGATGGACCCCTATTTCCTCCCGCTCCCATTCCCCATCACCACAGGGGACCAATAAATAATGCAAAACACATGACAATCCCCCCCCCCCCCCCCCCCCCCCCCCCCCCCCGGGACCAAAAAAAAAAGCAAAAAACATTACAAACCCCCCCCCCCCGCCCCACACATACACACAAATCTGGATATAATTACAGACTTAGAATCTGCAGCTTTACAGCCTGTTTCTCAGGGCTGTCCCACCAAACAGACGGCAATTTTTGCAAGACACCCCCTTGGATTCTCTCTTCCCTCTCAAATCCATTGCGTCAGGCTGTGATCCAAGAGCAGCCGTTTGCCAGCAGATCGCTGCATTTTGTTGTATCCCACAGATTAATTTCTGATTCAGCCTACAAGCATTGGCAGAGGAGTTAAAAAGAAGTTCGAAGGGAGGGGATTTTTTTCCCTTTGTGCACATGTAATGTTTTTAATAACCACCTCAGCAACTTCACTCTACCTGGGAAAGGGTCAGACTGTGTTTGGAAGACCCAAAAAACCCTTTGTTGGCCATTCCAACACTCTTTGAGTATGGTCCAATGAGCTTTCCTCAGTTTTGCCCATTCCTGTTCCCTGTTTTCTTTTTTCCATTTTTGTGCTCCTGAAACAACTTTCTGGCACCAGCCCAGGTAGCTGGCAAAAAGATTGGCTCTATTTATCCATCTATCATCAATCTACCTATCTCTGAGACTTGAATCCAACCCTTAAAAATGCTGGAAGCACCTGAGAGTGAAATGGCCCCGCTGTCTATCCAGCCCAGCATTCTTTTCCCACAGTAGCTCAACCAGAGATGCCCAAAAGTCAGATGCAAGTGCACCACTCCCCTCATGCCCATGTTCCCCAGCAGTTGGCATACTTTGGGTGCATGGCTGCCTGTCCTGGAGGAAGCACGCAGCCATCAGCAATAGTAGCCTTTGCTAGATGCCTTCTCCTCCATGCATTTGTCCCGTCCCCTTTTAAAGATCCAAGATGCAGATCAACTGGAAAAGGTTCAGAGGGGGGCAACAAAGATGATCCACGGTCTGGAAACAAGGCCCTGTTGAGGAAAGACTGAAGAACTGGCCATGTTTAGCCTAGATAAGAGAAGATTTCAGAGGGAGGAGGCCTGGAATCAAGTTCTGGGAAGCCAAATGCCAGCGGACATGAGGCAAACCTTCTGGACCATTCAGCAATGCAACGATGGGCCCAGTGATCTCAAAGGCCACGGACTGTCCCTCCCGCGCAGGGTGTGAGACGCAGCTGGGCTTCGGGGGCATTTCCATGAGTGTTTCTCCCAATACACGCATTTCAGTGTGCAACGTTGCCCGTCATCTGTGTTCTAGCAAGCCCTTGCCACCAACAGAATGCATTTTTGTGCATTGTTTTCTCAAATACCCAAGGATTTATGCACACCATTCCTCTGTGTGAACACTTTGAGAACATCATCCATGACTCTAACATCAGCACTGGCTCCAACATTTGGAACGCTCTTGCAAAGATGCTCTCCACAGGTCCCTTTGCTCAGCAAGTGCACCTTCTCACCACGAGGGTCACCAGCTGCTCTTCCTCCTCCTCCTCTTCCTCGTTGTGGCTACTGCTTGCTCGCTTGGTCAGCAGAGGGCCAAGGAGCAAGGGCTCCATCACACGTCCTGTTCACCTCCTGACCTCCATGGTTGCTGGGGGAGAAGAGCAGGCAAAAAACGGGCCACACTGCCAAAGCTGAGAAGTGACCCCAAAAGAGGAGGGTCTCTAGAAGGTGCCCAACCATGTTGACATCTGACATGCCCAGGTTTTGCAGTTGGCTCTGCCACAGATCCAGAGCCTTTGGGCTCACTTCCTGCCTGGAAGGCCAGTGTGAACAGATTTCCTCCGTAAGAGGACCCAGCACTGGATTCCAGGCACGCAGAGCCCACAGTCTGTGGATCACATGAGCTTCGCTGCCTCATCAGAGGACATGAAAACACCTCGCCTTTCTCTTTTCTTCAACCTGGCAGCATCCCTTCCCAGCGCTTGGAAGGGATTCTGTTATTTATGGCACAGTGTTTTTGTCTGGGGATCTTTTTTCCATGCCCCAGTGCCAATCAAAATGAATTTTTCAAACTTCTCTAGCCTCTTCTATGGTTTGTCACAGTAGAAGGGGGCCAAAGGCTGAGCGGAAATGAGCCTGCTTCCTTGTCGCTCGAGTTTTGAAGCTGAAATGGGAGTTATGGTCAGGTCAGCCTGGTGGCCACCACGGTGAGCTGCTGCAAGGACCATCCCTCTTCCCGAGTGTTTCTGGAGCAGGTGGCCCTTCGACTGGCACTAAATCTACTTGACAATGTAATTAATAATGGCAATGGAGGCCTCACATCTGTGACATTGCTCACGGCTGCAGGGAAATGTCCCCTGAGGATTCTGCCGTGAAAGATGCGGTCGGGATGACGTATCGCCCAGCAGGCCCCACTCGTGTTAGGGCTCATCCCCCGTCGTTTCCAGTTCCCCCACCAGGGAAACAGCCCCAGCCCCCCGGCGCCAGTGGTGCTGCGTCACAAAACAGCTGCCGGGCATGCTCAACGGGCTGGGCTGGGGGCGGGGGCGGGCATTCAGCGCCTCCTTTTTTCCTCTGGGGTTTCTTGCTGTCTGGTGGGGTTTCCCACACAGCCTGATGTTCCCATGCCATGGGAGGGGGATACTCCTTGCTCCATGGTAGGGAGCTCAAAGGGGGAGCTGTTTACAGGAACTCTCAATCTGGAGGGAAGGGCCGTGGATTTCATGGGGGTCTCCAGGTGGACGGGTGTGTGGGGAAAGGCTGGCTAGAAAATGGTGCTTGCACTTAATCAGCAGTTAATGGCATTTCAGAAATGTTATAGATCCTCTGAACCATCTGGTTCCCCTATTAATGCCACACTGGGATAACGACGCAGCATCATTAAAGGACACTTGGGTCATTGACAGGGTTAAGGTGGGTGCCGACACAATGCCCCAAAATGATGCTGCATCAGGGCTGGCAGAGCACGGGGGGGCCTGAGACAGGAAGCACTCAGGGGCTGCTAGTGCTTATGGCCAGGTTCTGCCTCTAGCCAGTTCAGCAGCAGCATGGCTAGGTACCCCCGTGGCTGGGGAACATGGGCAGGAGGGTGCCCTTGCACACCTCTCCTGCTTTTGGTTTTTCTGTGGGCAGGCGAGATCTAGGATGTGGGACTGGATGGACCTCCCCGCCCCGCCCCGCCCCGCCCCACCCCGGTGTTCTGGTGTTCTTATATGCCCTGCAGTTCTCACACAAAATGCATGTCCGCTGCTGAACCTATCGCCTCTGGTGCAAGGAGGGCAATTGCTTCCACAGTAAAGAAATAAAAAATCAATCCATCAGTGCACCCAGAGAGTTAGCAAGCCAGGCGAAATACTCTTGCTAGTCCCACCGGCAACCCACTTGAGGGTTTACCTCCTCAAGACACTGGAGGACTGGGGAGAATAGGCCAGAAGAGCAGGGAAAAGGTTAGGAACTTGGAAGCGGCCACATATTGAGTTGTCCAGTTGAGTTGTCATTGTCTGATTTTGCCAGCACTGACTGGCAGCAATAACTCTTCAGAATTTCAGGCTGCTAAGATTCTTCTCCAGCCCCCACTGGAAATGCTGCAGATCAAACTGGAAACTTCTGTGTGCGAAGCGACAGTCCTGCCCTGAGCTGTGGCCCTTGCCCTAAAAATCAAAGCAAGCTTCTCGTCCTCATGGTTCTGAACACAAAATGGGGGATCAGACCCTGGCCCACACTTAATCAGGGTTGTCTTTTACCAGAGGGAGGGAATGTGTGGTCCTACAGTTCTTACTGCCCCTCAAGCTGAGCAGAATTGCAGCCCAGCAACATTCGGGGGCTGCCCAGTTCCCCAAGCCCAGGCAATAGGGAGAGCAGCAAAGGCTCCTGGGTTTCAAGCAGGGCTCTTTCATTGCAACCCCTCCTGCAGAAGCCAAAGGGCCGAGCCAGGGCCTTCTGCGTGTCCCTCAGCTCCCTCTTTGCCCGGGTATAGAATGGGGTGCTGTGAGAATTAAGTTGGTCACAGAGTGGGGAGTGCAAAAGCCAGTCCACGTGTCCCAGCCCTGACAGCCCACTCCCAAGACCTCCACGAGGTTGCTCTGCCAGGACTTCTCCTTCCCAGCCTGCTTCTCTGCAGATGGCATGGGACTACAACTCCCAGCAACCCCAGCCATCAGGGGCCACTCCCTTCCAGCACAGCTGGTTTTCAAAGCCCCACATAATAACAATAAACAGTCAGGGATGTATGCAGAGTCTGCTTTGTGTGCAAAATCCGTCAGTTCCCTGGTCCCGGTTTCCCAGATGCCGCTCCACTTTGCAGCAGCCCCGAGTCCCAGGCCCCTGGCAGGTGCGCCCAGGAACCAAGCTCCATGAGCCATGCAAGTAGCACCGTTCTTCTGCTCCTGCCACGGCCACCGGCAGTAGCAAGTAGTGAAGGAGTTTGGCCCCCGGGACCAGCAGCTGGTGCGCCCACTCATGGCCCCCTCTTCCGCGTCCTGCAGCCACTCCGGGCGTGGAGGGTTGCCAGTTGTGCTGCCACGGACTTCCTCTTGACACCGTCTGCTTTGCAGGACCGGGCAAGTGCAAAAGGAAGCCTGCGGATGCTGGAGGGACAGATTCCGAAAAGGTTCATTCCAGCAATAATAATAATGCCCTTCCCTTGGAATGTCTGATCGCTCTGGTTTGTTCCTTACATTTCTGTCCTGGCCAAGCAGGATAGAAAAGTAAGAATTTCTCTGGGTGGTTCACAAAATAAAACTTAAAACTGTGCAATATTCAAAAGAAAAAGAAGAGAAGAATCAAGCAGAATAAAGAAAAGTAAAAACCCACTGGCAGTGTGTGACCTGATAAGCAGGAACACCCTTGAAAGACCAATGCGGCGTTCCTGAAAGGTCGCCCACCTTCCCATTCATACATAAAATATTGCAATGGAAGAGAGAAGAGCTACTCTGTTTCCAGCTGAGGCTGGAGCGAGTGTATAAAACTTTGCAATGGAAAAGCTGCTTCATTCTTTCGCTATGTCTCCATAATTTACAGGGGGCTGCTGGATCCTCACTTGGCCTCCCAGCCAGATGTCTTCATTTCTTCACTTCTGGGTCATTGCGAAAATCAAATACTGCAGGACAGAGGGAAGATCAAGACATCAAAGGTGGGAGTGTGCTTAAACTCAGGTTTGGATCATTTATGTATGTATTTATTTATATTTCAAAAGGCACTCCATCAATCACAGGGCCACAATCAAGTCCTGGTCCTTGTTGGCAGAAAAGATTGCGCATTGCATGCCCAGGTAGCTAGTTCTTGTCTCCTCCAAACACTTGGCCATCAAAAAGGAGCTGAGATCTACAATTAAGCATCCTTAATAGGATGGAGAAAAGGGGCTTGAAAGTTAGGCAGTGCATTCCTTAACTCGTCTTTGCTGCTTATGAAAATTTAAGTTCCGTTTGTCCTGGACTTGCCCCGCAGACTCAGCAGACGCAGCTTCCACCCTGGCCCCCCAGCAGGGCTCACCGTCTGGCAGGATCCTTTTGGTGAGCGTCCTCGGACCGGCTGCTCCTCTTTCCCACTGCAGCACTGGTGTTCCACTGCCTCTCGCTCTGGACTGGGCAACGGGGGCAGGAGATGCTGCAGCCAACTGGCCCGCTGAGGAGGAGCGGGGGCTTCCCGGCAGACAGAGACGGAGGTGAGGGAAGGCTCGCTGAGAGAGGAAGCCAGGGCATGTTTTGTTCCAAGCGCCACGCGGGGCACCTTACCCATGGCCTGGCACTGTCCCTGGGCTCCCGAGAAACCCCTCCTCCCAGGCTAGTGTGTGTGCAAGTGTGTATCGGAGTGGACAGGCCCAAGGGGCAGGAGCTCTCACACTGTGGCTGCAGCACTGGCAGCACATAGGCCAGAAGTACAGACAACCCCATCCTCACCTCTGCTAAGGAAGAGAGACACAGAAGAGGCTGTTCCTCCCCACTCGCCCCAAAAGAATTAACTGTTTCTCTCCCATAAAAGGCAGCCTAAAAAAGGAAGGTGGGGGGATGGGGGACTGAAAAGTCTCCCGCAGGCAGAAGGCATTTCCGTTGTCCTCCTGCATGTCCAGTTTCAGGAGGGACCTCTAACGAGCTCTCAGACTGCAAAATATTCTGAGGTTTCTTCTCCGTGCTGCTCCCGCACCCACAGCATCCAGCGCCGGCCCTGAAAATGCTCGTTCATGGCAATTCGAACCTTTTCTCATAAATCGACTTGCATGACAACAGTCTGTTCTCTCCAAGTGAACCATGGATTGTCCCTGAAGACCCCACAGTTTGGAACCTAAATCCAGGCTGTGGACGAATGAACAAAGCGGCAGGAAAGCAGCATGAAAACGCTCATTTTGTGCTTAGCATTATTATTATTATTATTATTATTATTATTATTATTATTATTATAACATTTCTATGCCACCCCTTGCCGAAGCCTCAGGCTGGCTTACAACACAATAAGATACATTGAAATACAATAGAACATAATAAATTACCACTAAATACAAAAATACAAAAAATACACTGAGATACAATAATATAAAATTAAAATTAACAGTATAAAATAAGTAAATAAAGAATATAGGAGGAGGAAAGAGAAGGAAGAGGAAGTTGCCCTGGCCAGATCATATGTTTTAACAATTAAAATGATGTTTAAATAAAAAGGTCTTTACCTGGCGCCGAAAAACCAGTAACGACGGTGCCAGGCGGACCTCTTTGGGGAGTGAATTCCATAGGTTGGGCGCCACCGCAGAGAAAGCCCTCCTCCGAGTACTTACTCTCCTAATTTCTTTCATGGAGGGTTCCCCGAGAAGGGACTCTCCCGCAGATCTCAAGGGGTGGTCAGGCATACCTGCCTTTCCAAGCTGCATAATTTACCTTCCTGACCTATCACCATTTTGGAGCTCAAGGTAGATGAATGCACAGGTGTGAATCTATATCAATGACCCAATCAATTCTTAATATCAGATCATTCTAAGACACTTATCAGAAAGACACCTTTAAAAAGAAAATGAACCAACACAAAGAGCTCATCCAACTTTAGTCTGCTGTAAACAAGGTATATCAGCACCCAAACACTAGAAAAGAATGTACTCACACATTTGTGCTCTGTTTCTCATTTTCCCAACCTTATATTAAACATGAACTTTGTGGATTTTTCCAGTCTTTGGTGGTTTTATACGGGATGTGGAAATGTAAATAAAAACAAAACAATAGTTTGACATGAAAATTTGTACACACTTCTGTGCACATGAATTTGTGCACAAAATTTAACCTAAAGTATTCATTTTTCCACCAGGGAATTTTTCTTAAATAAATAACATTTGCATGTCATTTTCATTGAAATGTTATTTTTATGTGCATTTTCCCTCATGGGCTAAAACATGCAAATATGCATCTTGGGAATCTCTGAGTGCTTTGGGTGAGGAGAGATTTGCATGTGCCAGGAGTACGAAATTGTGTAACCATGAATATTTGTGAATGCACTATGAACACTTTTGTGCAAAACCAGCAAGTGGACGATAGAGAAGAAGCTCTTGGAAATCTGTTTTCAGCTAACTTTAAATATTTTAATTCTGTAGGTTTCTCCCCCTCCCTCCACTCTTAATTTTTATTGTTCCCCATTCAGAAATGTGATCAGATATAGCACATATAGAAACATGATCAATAGTAAATATGTTTTCAGTTGATGTGAACAAAGCTTAAAAAACCCTCCTGTTGACGGTTTTTGGTTTTAATCTATTTTGCCCTCAGAGCCAGTAAACCAAAACCTGCTCTGCTTGAGGAGGACGTGGCATCCAGTAAAAGGTGCACTAACCAATTATCACACTGGGTGTCATGTTTTATTAGCATGGAAAATTGGGCAGGCTGGTCCATGGCAGAATTTAACATGCACGAGAATAGTCTGTTTTTGTCTTTTCCAGCAAGCTCCTCCAAAATTACCCTCAGAGCCAAGAGTGGAGGCAGCCCAGAAGATAACGAGCAGGATGATTCAAACCCAGTAAAAGCTCAAACACCAGTCCCGGGAAACCACAATTACTGCAGGAAGACAACACACACGAGCTGAATTGCAGGCTGCTCCCACCAGCGGTGCAGGCATACAAGGGTCCTGTTTCCATTCATTTCAGATCAGAGCTGGACCCTTTTGCTATGCCAAGTACCAGCTCACTCCAGAGCTCTTCTATGTGGGTGGAACCGTCTTGACCGCTTCAGGACCAGTGGATCCTGCAAAGATCTGCAGGGTGGGGGCGGATGAGCATTGCCCTGCCACCCGGTTCGCCACCTCCTCTCAACCTTCCCCCTCCCCCTCCAGGAATTTGCCAACCCCCCCTTTAAGGCCGTCCTTCAGCAACCCCATAAATGAAATATGAATCTGAGCACTGCAGCTCATGATGTATCAAATGGACAGATTGCATGGGCACTTCAGGATCTGCAGACTCTGTAAAATTCCTTCTCAGCACTTCATGGCTCATTATCCACGTGTGGAAATATTCATTTTGGGAATCTTTTGCATATTTTGGATGGAATTGGATATTGCACAATCACATTTGCACAAATTTGCATTCACAAAAATTTGCACTCCTGCAATGCCCAAGTCCCTCCAAAATATGCAAAAGATTCCCAAAATGAATATTTCCACACATTAGCCTATGGGAGAAATTAACAGTGGGTCAGTGCTTCATTTTTCTACAACCAAATCTGAGTAAAATTCCAGATTTTTAAAAGAAGTCCTAGCAATAACATTTTGTTCCCCATTTAGGGTGGCCTGGTCTGAAATTAAGACCTGCTAGCCTTATGAAGGGGATTTATAAGGGGATGCAGGCGCAGTGGTTTAAACTGCTGTGCTGGTTGATTGAAAGGTTACCAGTTTGAATCTGCACAACGGAGTGAGTCCCAGTTGCTCCGTCCCAGCTCCTGCCAACCTTGCAGTTTGAAAGCATGCAAATGCAGGTAGATGAAAAGGTGCCACGTCGGTGGGCAGGTAACAGCGTTCCGTGCACCTCGGTGTTCAGTCATGCGGCCACACGACCACGGAGACCGCCTACGGACAAACGCTGGCTCCCTCGGCCAGGAAACGGAGGTGAGCACCGCCCCCGAGAGTCAGGCATGACTGGACTTAACATCCAGGGGAAACCTTTACCTTTACCTTTAGCCTTATGAAGGACCTTCTTCTGGTGGAAATGGACATTGCTAGGCTCATTGATCAGTGGGGATCCATGGAACTGCCTAGAATTCCAGTGGCTGATGGGCCAAGAGAAGGAATCCAGGTGCTTCACCAGCTCTCCTGAAGAGGCTGCTGGGTCAGCCACCTTTTGGCGATGCCATAATTAGCAGATCTTCCACCTTGGGGCCCAGCTGGGCCACATGGGTCTTAGATCTTTGGGCACTCTTGCTTTGAACTCCCTCCTGACCTGATGAATCTAATCCTCCAGGTGCTTCAACCACAGACAAGCTTCCCACAAAGAAAGGGTTCCGGATTCCCCACATTGGGCTGATGGGAAAACTGTTGGTTGCAATCCAAAGTACATCTTCCTGCCCAGCTTGTGTTCTTGCCCCTCCAATGATTTGTCCCCCAGCCCCTAACACCTTCGAACTTTCCACCTCAGAAGCAGCAGGAAAACCTTATCCCTTCTGTTATGGCTTTTTCCAGTTGCCAGTGAGGAATGCTGATTTGTACTCCACGTGGGGCCCTCCCTGGCATCCCTGGCCATTTCTTGGTCTGGCTCAGCTCCAAGGGTGGTGAGACTGGAATCCAGTGCGTTCCCGCAGCTTCCGGGGACATGCAATCATGGTCATGAAACTGCTGCGTTTATGTGAGGGGAAGTCTCTTTGCAAAGTGCATAGTAAACACACAGGGACTGAAGCAGTGTTGTGCCTGTTTGGGCATCCAGCTGGCTGGCTGGCCAGCCAGTAGTCAAGCCCCTTCCAGGTGATGCCATTCCATCTGCCCCTCCCCATCAGAGCCTCCATCTTTTATGTGGAGTACCTATGCTTGTTCTCTGTTGGACTCTTCATATGTTTGTCTCCGAATGTTCCTGTTCTGTAAACTGAGCATGTTGGGTGATCCTGACTTAGATGAAACAGGATTCATGCTGTGCACTGACCTGAGTCTGATCTCAGTGTAAGGAAAAGATCTGGAACAAAAGGAAACTTCAATTAGTAGAGCCAAATATTTCCAAAGCTTTTATTTTGGGGTGAAATATAATGATGGGAGTGTTTAGATGTCTTTCCCCCATAAGCACACACACACACAGGAACAGCAACAACAAATCCATGCTTGGATCACGCAAATATTATTGGAAAAAAGGCATGGCTAGCTTTGTGGCAGGACCCACGTGGCAGAATGATTCTTGATTTTATTTTAATTGACCCAATAAAAAGGGTCTGCTTGGCAGATTACAGGAAGGTTGAAGAATAAAATACCGTTCAAAAGACAGCAAGCCCTGCAGGGATGCACATACACAGCCATACATAATGTGGCTTCTAACCGACACTGCGTAGAGCTGTCTAAGGCAGTCCCTTCCTCAGGCCCAAACACCACTGCATGCTGCCCCCCCAGTGCACCATGGCTTTGCACGGCAGCGGCCGATCGCAACTTGGAAAATGCCAGTGAGGCTGATCAAACATGGATCCTGAAATGGGAGAGCCAGTGGGATTGGCGGAGGCAGTGTGC